AGATACCTTCTGATGTTCATTTATGTTTATTTCATGCTATAAAAAGTAAAGAGGAAGAGATTATCGGTTCGCATGCTGCTTGAACTGAGGTGCTACAGCGATCTGTCACGACACATTAAAGAGCCACAAATTGGCTGCTTGAATTCCTTTTTAAAAAAAGACCAAATTTAAAAGCTGAAACATTGTTTCGTACCTAAAGTAACCTGCTCTGTCTAGTCTATTGGCGCATTGTCAGTTTCCTCTCTGCTCTGCAATATATTTTTCACTGCGTAAGAACATGATGTGTGTGGCTTGTCAGACGTAGCAACAGTTACTAAGGTGGTCTTTGCGAAAGGGTCAATTTCACCTCCAAACTATTCTGTGAAAGGGATTCACAGAACTCACACATTACCACATTAACTCATTACGAACACTATATTGTGTAAACACAAACACGGTCAAGTGTTCATAATGCAGCATCTTGAAATCTCCTTGGGCAGATCCCTGCTTAGTCATTGGCCTGTGAGCAGTGTGTAAATATCATTCACACTTAAATGATCTGTTAATTGAGAGACAGACTCGAGATCTGACAGGGTGGACCAACAGGGAAAGTAGCGCTATGCTAACAAATGGTTGCGCCTAAATTTGCAATACTAACACAAAACACTAATCTGAGAGAAAACATTACAAGGCCCCTGAAGAATGAACCACATGCTATGGCAAATAATGCAGCACACACACGGTTCTGAACAATCTGTTTCACAAGAAGAGCAATACTAGCATTAGCTTTAATTTAACCTAAACCAAAGCAATCACTTCTTCACAAGTCAAAATGCAACCCAAATTAACCCTATTGAAATGAACCCGAATTAAACCCGATTTGTAAATATGTGCTCCAGTTATTATAATACACAATTAATAACCACACATTATTATAACTAAACACCTGTTTTATTTTTGTTTGTTTTTTCAATCTATGAAGTATAAAAGCTTTAAAATATCTCCATTTACAGCAGTAAAATGGCCTACATATGCTGTTTCATGTCTCTTTAAGTGTCTTACTTTCATCCACGCGAGGGCCATCCATCTCTAGCAGCATGTGTTTTGACAGATATGGTGATGTCACACCTGGGGAACGAGGTGCTGATGGTGATTCAATGTGTTGGAGGTCAGATTTCTTACTGATGTTTATGTCAGCCGGTCATCAAGGTTAAAAGCTGTCAACTAAGGGAATTACAGTGTGCTAACCGCCCATCCCAAACGTACCTTTGAATTGAGCGGTCACATTTTCCAGAAGAAGGCCGAAAGCAAAGAGCAGATTCCTGACACTTAAGCAAAACGCTACTGACAGGTCTGTAAACACATTACTTTTAGTGTCATGGTCCATTAGCGGGACGCAAGGACTTCAGATGTGGATCCTCTTTCTGATTGTACGTTCCAAGTGACCTAGTTTGGCTTCTCCTGCAATTGAAATCCATCTACATATTGTTCCATTTTTAACAAATACTTGGATTTTAATGTAATCATTACATTTTCAATGATGATGTGCTGCACCCTGGTGGTTAGGAGAGGTACCGCAAGCTCCATACTGTGAGTGACTTACTGTTTTGTTTTATGAGGATGGGATCTCCCCTTCCTCCTCTCTCACCATCTGTCTGGGAATTCTCCCTTCCTGAAATTCACCTAAACAGCTTCCCTCCCTCCTTTCTCCCCTCAACCTCATCTTCTTTAGTTGCAATTCTGCAATTCAACTTTCACTATTAGTCTCTACAATGACAAAAATGAATGGCTACCAAATAGCAAAAAAATCAACTAGCTGTGCAACACTGCTTTACTCCTGATAGTGTTAAAGGTTCACTAGTTACATTTACAATTCTGGGCACTCTGGGAAATTGCGTCCTATATTCATATACTTGGGAAAAATTTAAATAATAATAATAATTTAAAAAAATAATAAACAAATAAAACGTTGCCTAGCAATACTTTGTCAACGACTAACACAATATACCCCACAGCAGTGTTGTTTTTGTGAACTAAATATAAACTATTAAAAATTATTTTCGGTAATTGAAATGAAGCTGAAATAAAATCAAATCTAGGTATTAGATGAAAAACTTAAACTTAACAGCAGGTTAGAAATGTTAACGGAAATAAATTATGCTTAAGCTGAAGCACTAAAATTACTTAAAAACAAAACTGAATATATTGAAATACGTGACCCTGGACCACAAAACCAGTCATAAGGGTAAATTTTTCAAAATACATCATCTGAAAGCTGAATAAATAAGCTTTCCATTGATGTATGGTTTAGGATAGGACAATATTTGGTCGAGATACAACTATTTGAAAATCTGGAATGTGAGGGTGCAAAAAAAAATCTAAATATTGAGAAAATCGCCTTTAAAGTTGTCCAAATGAAGTCCTTAGCAATGCATATTACTAATCAAAAATTAAGTTTTGATATATTTACGGTAGGACATTTACAAAATATCTTCATGGAACATGATCTTTACTTAATATCCTAATGATTTTTGGCATAAAACAAAAATCTATAATATTGACCCATACAATGTGTTTTTGGCTATTGCTACAAATATACCCAAGCAACTTAAGACTGGTTTTGTGCTCCAGGGTCACATATATAAAAGATTTTTATCCAGTATTTGGTGACTTGTGGAACACCACAACCGTAACAAAAAAGTTGTTATACCCTGTGTGAGCAAACTCAGTAAGTTTTAGTCCAATGCAATAATAAAAATAAAGTCCTCTCTAGGATCTCTAAAATGACTGGAACACAACATGAGGGTTATTACAAAATATGGTATCTTGTTCATGGTCCTAAAACAGCAATGTTTCATTCTTTTGTTCCCTCTCTCCTCACAAGGTCATTTCAACCTGGCCTGAGCTCTCTGCCCTTAACATGCAAGTTAATGTGTGAGGGTCAAATCCTGAGCTACAGGTCTAAATCACAGTATTGACCCTACGGGGACAGGGACACGGAAAAAGACAGCCTGACATGAACTGAGTCATTGTGAGTCTTCTTGAAGAGACAGAAGAACATACACTCTGTCAGCCATTTGTTTGTGTGATGATGTCCATGCCAAAAATTAGCCCTTTTGGTCGTTGTATTTTTTGTTTCCTAGGCAAGGAACTGCCTAAGATTTTCTGTTCGGAGGACTTCTTCTACATCACGTTTGGTCCCGAATTAATTGAAACAAGGGTTAGAGGGTCAGTGCTGAAGAAATCACCTCTGCTTCTTCCGTCTGGCTTGAGAAAACAGAAAAAGTCCCATTTCAGGCAACTAAAAAAAGAGTTTCAGTGTGAAGGTGATTGGCAGTCCAGCACTTTCTATATCTGTGGAGGGCTATCAGAACAGGAGCTATTCTGTTCTCTAGAAGAGCACAAAAAGCCTTTGGATGGGTTTAGAGAGGCAATACGGTCAGGTTTTTATGTCAAGGTCAAGGTCCCAATGTGAGCTTTCCTTTGAGAAATGCGCTACAAAGTCTCAGTGCAGGGTTATACATTCAGCTGCACTTTTACACAGATCAGGTTTTTGGGTCATGTTACTTTTGATTGAACATGCAATCATTAAGTAACCAGTCAAGAGTCATTACGCACAATCTCACACTGATTCGGCTTAATAAACCAACAAGTCATGTAAACACCTTACATGGTGTACTTTAATCAAGAAAATGTCATTAATGGGGTCATTAATGAGTTAAAGAAAAATTTGATATCTAGGTTTTACACCGATGATCTGCAGTCATTTTATTTATTGGGCCTCATCTATTAAACATGAGCAGAACAAATTTGCGTAAATTGGTTGTAAATTGTCCCAATTACATTTAGTGACAATTTACACAAAATTAGTTTTATTGATTACACTGAAATCCGTTTAGCATGTTTCACTAATGAGGTGCAATGTACGCATATCTAATGGTTTTGGCATCAAGACAAAGGATAATTTCACAACTTCATGTTAACTAGGGCTGCACGATAAATCGCATGCGATATTTAACGCGCATCTTGTCAGTAAAGCCATTCTGTAATCAGCGGTAAATCTCCATCACCTGCGGGCTTTCACATGGAGCAGCATTAACTACACAGAGCCGTTGTTCACCGACAAGCTGCGCAAAACATGCACAAAATATGATCGTGGTTTTGCGCAGCTTGTCAGTGAACAACGGCTCCGTGTAGTTAATGCTGCTCCATGTGAAAGCCCGCAGGTGATGGAGATTTACCGCTGATTAAAGAACAGACTTTACTGACAAGATGCGCGTTAAATATCGCATGCGATTTATCGGGCAGCCCTAATGTTAACACAATTTTCTTGTGTTATTGCTTAATTGATTTTCATTTTATTTTGCATTAAACCTACAAAAAAATACAAATTAAATATGAATTTAAACAATATTTAATAAATTAAATACAAAGAAAATATTCAATTTAATTAAATGTAACATTTTCATTAATTAAAAAGCTAAACCTAAAAAGAATTTATAAATGAAATATGAATCAAAATATTTATAAATTAAATGCATGCAATAAATTATATTTTTATATATAAGAAATAATTCATTCTCTTTTAATATTTAAATAATATTTATAATAATTCAATTTATTTTTCATTAATTAAAAATCTAAAATTAAAATATATTTTATACATTTAGTATGAATTTAAATATTTATAAACTAAATAAAAATACATGTAATAAAGGATATTATAAATTATATAAATTATAATAACCCATTTTATTTCACATTTAAGTTATATCATTTTTATATATCAAAATCAACAAAATCTATAAATTCAATTTGTTTTTCATTAATTAACTGGGAAAATATTATTTATAAATTAAATATACATTAAAATATATACATAAATATACATCTTAATTTTTAAATATTATGAACATAAAACTCATTTTATTTCATATTTAATTTGTAAAAATTTTTATTAACTTTTTTTCCGTTAATGGAAAAACTAAACACATCACAAAATCACATTAAAAAGACTCACCTAAACCCAGCACAAATGTCCTGAGGATGTGCAGATTTTTAAGATATGCTCTCACATTGCAAAAAAAAGACTTTAAAAGTTCAACATTAGCTGGTTGTAAACAGGAACACAGTGAGCCGAGGGTTTTCTTGCACTCTCATAGAAAGGTCTGGTTAGAAGTCAGTGCGTGTCTCTGCCGTTGAGAGGAGGGGGGTTCCATGGAGATGAACCCTCAGCGGGCTCTCAGAGTGGAGGGCCACTCCACCGCTCTCTACTCTGCCCCCTCCATTATCAACATCAATTGATGGCTGCTAAGCCACAAACGGCCCCTCAGAAAAAAGGAGAAAATTCTTTCAGTGAGACACCTGCTGCGAGAGCTTGTGTATTCATTGAGATTGTATTGATTTACCTATTGATTTTTTTGTAGGAGGCTGCTGGGGTTCATGGCACGATGGCTATTGATTCCCAAGAGTTGCGGCACCACACAGCTTGTCCATGTGAACTGTGGCATTGCTAAGGTGCTTTCATTGCATCCAGCCTCAGAACGAGATACCAGGCTTTTTAAAGCAAGTATATCTATAGGAACAATAAATGACCAACGTGATAGCTTTAATATCTCAACTGTTTCTCCAAGACAGCGACAAAGCAGATGGAACTTTCTCTTGAGAAACAGAACCTAGAAATCTAATGTATCTCTTCTAGAGTTTCGGAAGAATCTCAAAAATGTGACAAATTTTACAAAACTGTGCCCAGATTTGTCAAAATATCAAAGTCTGCAAAAATCAGGGACTTTGTTATAAACGTAATTATATTTCTCCTAAGGATTTTCAAATTAAGACAAACTTGATACTTCAATGAAACATTATGAAATATTATTGAAATCTCATGAGCTCTGGAAGAGCAATAAAACTCAGATATCATCAAGATACTGTATGTCAACATGTTTATCAAATTTCAGTTGTCATGGCAACAGCAGTCTAGTCATGTACCATAAGCACTAGTAATAAAGACAAGGCTGAATCTCAAGAAAATCAAAATCATCCCAAATCATAAGCTGTTATTATTATTATTATTATTATTATTGGAAAATATGGAAATGCAAAAAAATATATTAAAAGAACATTTTTAAGAAAAATGAAAATGAATTATTTGGATTATATCATCTTCAGGAATGCTGAAAACATACTTTACAATCTAAATAATAATAATAATAATAATAATAATAAATAATAATGTATTATTGGAAATTATGAGATAATAATTGAAGTTTATTGTTAGAACGATTAAATTATTTTGATTTTATTATTATTATTAAATTATTAAAATGCATAAACATTAATGGGAATGAGAGCATGGGTTACAACGAAAGGTGTGCTTCATAATATCGGACTACATTATGTTAATGGTTGGTTCTTATGTAAATGTTCCTTATGCAAAATAATTTTTTTTTTAAAACTTCTGTTATGGCCCAGACATCTTTTGACAGTTTCCTTGAGTTTCATCCTCAAACGAACGCGCAGACAGATGCATCGAGAGCTCAAGCTGTCAGTGCATGTCCACACAAGTAAAAAAAAAACACACATAAATACTGTTATCAAGCTGCAGGGCGTTCATTGACCAACACACACGACATCAAAACGCTGCACCAATTGAACCCACCTGCCCACATACAAGCCTGTCAGCGCAGAGCCATTACTCCGAGTCGCTAAACTGAAAGGAAACAGACAGACGCAGTGCGCGAAAGTAGAATTACACAATCACCCTCATCCATTGGCGTAGAATACGCGGGGGACGTGTATATAGACGTATATGGGGATAGATAGATAGATAGATATATAGATAGTAATTGTATATATTATTTTATTTCGAAAAATATATATTTGTGACACTTATATATATACACACATATATATGTAATATAATAGATACAATAATCAATTTAAAAGGGCATTTAAAAGCGTGCCTTTCTTGTGGTACCATGGCATTATAAACCTAGCTCCCTGTGTCCGACTACAAGATAAATAGAGCGTGTGACAGCTTTTATTAACTCCAGCTGCTTTTATGGCCATACAGATCAGGCGGTGAGCAGACGGCAGAAAATGAGATTGCGAATCTTCTTCTCTGGTTGGTTTGATTTGGTCTACTGAATGTCACAGGTGGACATTAAGACTTATGGGGCGGAAAGAAAACTTTCCAAATGTATGTTGTAAAACAAACAAAAGACCCATTTAATGCTATACTGCAATACTTTGAGGTAGAAAGTTAATCTGAATTTATGGATGTAATCTCAAAAAGTCTGTCAAACACTCAATCAATTATCAAATATTAAACTTAATAAAATGCTAAATAACATTAAATCAGTTTTCCAAAGGTTCATCTACATGATAAAAGTGCATTCAAAAGTACATCATAGGCCTTTCAACTCTAAACAAGTCAAGCCAAGTAAAAACTCAACTAATTCAACATATAAACAAATACAGGCCAATATTTCAAAAGTTTTGGCTTCTCCAGCGTCCAGCCCTAACATAAGCACTTCAAGGGGGAATCAGCCACCAGCAGACATAACACAAAGAATCAAACTCACTCAGGGAAAGATGTGATCGCTTAGGCCTTGTAATGCATAATCACACTGGAATTGTGCTAGCTTGTTTGGTGTACTAAACTCTCTTGTTTGCTAACACTGACCGCCTCCCACTTGATTGCTTGATTCATTTGATTGGCAGGTGGTCTTAAAAGGACAGTACCCACTGAAGCCCTGTCTTAAAGGGCCAGTGCATGATTATGCCTATCTGTCTAATGTAGGAAACACACAACCACAATAAATATATTTGAGTTAGGAAATCATTCAGAATCATTATACAGGAAAATAATCTTTATTTATCTAAAACTGTATGAAAATGTATTTCAAAACACATTTTAGTGGATATCCACTTATCTTAAGTGCTTCATATAAATCATACAGTACAAATATATTACAGTAATCAAAATGCATACAGTGCAAATACAAGAATACAAGTGATAATAGAAAGAAACAAATGTGATTACCCTGTTTTGAAATCTTTCCATTTAAAATTTTTCAAAACAAATAAATTCATCAAGTGAACTGATTTTAAAGCATTTTTACACTTACAAATATACAGTGCATTGACAGAGATGTGTTATTTTGATATTTAATAATCACAAATATATTTAGAATTCAAGGAATCAAATGATCATATAATAACCAAAATGTGCAGCGTGTAGACAGAAGTTACACTTCCAATTTCAATAACAATAATGGCTCAGTTAAATGTTGAGGTTTCTCAGTTTCCTCATTTGACCAACATGCAGTGCTTTCGGCTTTTGTTGGCTCCTTATCACACAAATGTCTTATAAGGACACTTATGCATTGAAATTCTCACATTATACATGATTATTTTCCATTTAGCCCACTGCATCATGGGAGAACATGTTGATTCCATGACAAGGCGCTTTTGAGGGCTACAGGGCACCAACTTGTTGTAGGGTACAGAAGACAATGGACTGTCCTGAACCTGAAAAAACAAAACAACATTAGCTAAAAACATCTTAAATGCATTATATTCACACTATATGATGAGTTTTAAAAGTCGTATATTAAAAAATGCTTTAAAAAAAGAAAAGGATTAGTTTGTCTTATGACTTTTGGTTCAAGCCGTGGTTAACGTTTCAGCAGGAACCGAACTTTACTGGGTCTCAAAAACAAGTATGTGTTATCTCGAGGAAAACGCAAAACCTTTTAGCCTGTGAAGAGTTTGGCAATACATACAGACAAATTTATTCAGATTAAGCCGATTAATACGAGGAAGTGCTTTTAAACTGCCCGTAAGAGATGTCTGCTCACGAAGTGTGTAAGCATGGATTTGTGGTGATAACAGAAAAAGCTTGGATGTTTAATGCTAACACAGGCAGAAAGATGTGTGAGAAGATATCACACTCACTGTGGTAAGCATATTTTACAGATAAACATACAAATATTAGCATGAAATTAAATTTCAGTAACTTTAGTAGAAGGATAACATGCTTTTACATCAGTTAAAGTGGTTATATCTACTTAAACTTTACTTTATCTGATCATTTGTCTTGAATGAATAAAGGAAAGTGGAGTTAGCGGCAGTATGCGTCATCTTTTAGTCACAAATAACAAATCTGTATCCACAGGGCCTGTGGGTGTGTGAAGGTGTGTGCATGACTAACCTGGACGGATCTTCATCTTTGGTAAAAACTCCTTTTAGCTCAACACTGTTCATTTTATTCTCAAACCATCCATAGCTGAGAGTCACCTTCAGGGTTAGGGGTAGAGAAACAAACAAGAAGAACAGATGGCATGCTGTTAGAATTGAATAAGTAGTCTGATTTTAACTAACAATCTCATTTTGGCCCAAAATGTGTTTTGTCTATTAGCATCCCTTCCTCTGAGGTAAAATATTAGCCTTCTGTTCTTTGAGGTAAAATATTAGCATCTAGACTAGATCTTTTTGTTAAAATATTAGCATCCAGTTCTCTGAGGTAAAATATTAGCCTTCTGTTCTTTGAGGTAAAATATGTGACCCTGGACCACAAAACCAGTCATAAGGGTCAATTTTTTAAAATTGAGATTTATACATCATCTGAAAGCTGAATAAATTTCCATTGCTGTATGGTTAGTTAGGATAGGACAACATTTGGCCGAGATACAACTATTTGAAAATCTGGAATGTGAGGGTGCAAAAAAATCAAAATACTGAGAAAACTGCCTTTAAAGTTGTCCAAATGAAGTTCTTAGCAATGCATATTACTAATCAAAAATTAAGTTTTGATATATTTATGGTAAGAAATTTACCAAATTTCTTCATGGAACATGATCTTTACTTAATATCCTAATGATTTTTGGCATAAAAGAAAAATCGATAATTTTGGCCCATACAATGTTTTTTTGGCTATTGCTAAAAATATACACCAGCGACTTAAGACTGGTTTTGTGGTCCAGGGTCACATATTAGCATCTAGCTCTTTTTGTAAAAATATTAGCATCCAATTCTTTAAGGTGAAATATTAGCCTTCAGCTCTTTGAGGTAAAATATTAGCATCCAGTCCTTTGTGGTAAAATATTAACATTCAGGTTCTTTTTGGTAATATATTAGCATCCAATTCTTTGAGGTGAAATATTAGCCTTCAGTTCTTTGAGGTAAGATATTAGCATCCAGTACTTTGATGTAAAATATTAGCATCCAGTACTTTGATGTAAAATATTAGCATCCAGTTTTTGGAAGTGAAATATTAGCCTTCAGTTCTTTGAGGTAAAATATTAGCATCCAGTACTTTGACATAAAATATTAGCCTGCAGTTCTTTCAGATAAAATTTCAGTGCCCAGTTCTTTGAGCTTAAATATTGACATTCAAATTTTTAAGCTAAACGTATTTACATCCAGTTTCCAGTTCTTTGAGCTAAAATATTAATATCCCATTTGTAGCATACCGTGGAAAAGTGCTAAAGTTGCTAAATATGCTAAGTTGTTGTGTATGCTTGCCTGAGCGATTGTTAGCATTTTGCTAGGTGGATGCTAAGGTATTCTACAGTAGATGTTTCTAGATCATTGCTAGTTGGTTGCTAGGGTCGTCTAAGGGATTGCTTCTGAAAATACTTCTGATCACTTCTTTTCAACAATTAGCATGATTCAAGCTGTGGTAAAGTTGCTGTATGCTAAGGTGTTGTGAATGCTTGCCTGAGTGGTTGCTAAAGTATTATAGGAGGTTGCTTACTAGCCTAAGTCAAAAGATACTTTTGTCAAAATTCAAAAGAATGCTATCATTCATTTCCATACCATTTCTTTATTTCTTAAATAAGCAATACTAACAGCCACCACTAAAAAATCTCACCTGTTTTGGGATATCACTAGGGACAAGAAGAAGTAGGTTTTCCAGATGAGAGTGGAACATGTTGCTATGGACCATTGAGATTCCCAGACGCCTCTCAACTATAAAGCCCACTGTACAGTCATCAGGTAACATGATTACAGCAGAGGTCTGCTCGAACCTGGGACCACTGCAAATAGAGACATCCAAATAACACATATAATCTCAGTTTATACTCATTAGCTGCATCTCATTTTGGAGGCTATGCTCTCCGGAGGTTGCATTTGAAGGCTGTGTACATCATCTGGTCAGTCTCATTTAAAAAAAAGTACCCATTAAATTGCAAAGTATACAAGAAATGACAGTATTTTACACCTCACAAGGAATAAAAGTCAATTTTATTACAGTTACTTTTCTTAAATAAGACATCCTTGATGACGTATGCAACCTACAAATGTGACCTCTGGAGGACACAGCCTCCGAAATGAGACGCAGCAATTGCTGTCTTGGAGAAACAATTGAGGTACCTTTTGTGATCAAGGCACAAGTACCAACATATGCATGAAATGGCTTCAGAACCAAAGTCAAACACACACGCTGAATCAGGCCTCACCTTGCCCAGGGTGCCATCTTCTCTGCCAGCTTCCTGCTCAGACAGAAACCAGCCCCTCCTGTAGCAAACCAGAAATGGACGTCCCTCTGAAACAAAACAGAGGAAAAAGTCAACCAGTCAGCTTCCACATCAGCCTAAGGATGTGGCTCTATATAGCACACAAAATATTGCACATACATGAAAATAAAATAAAAAATATGTCACATTTTCATATTTGATTGCTACAGTTCCTTATGATTAAAGAATCAATTCTCTAAAACAATCTGAAGCTCTAGTGGTGCAATCGGTCAGTGTGTGATGGTTGTACAGCAGAACATGTGGAGACTCGCTGAGGTTTTGAGTAAAAGCCTCGCCTAAAGAAGGTATTTAAGCAAAAAGTCTTGCAGATGAACCTCAAAGCAGGTTCCTCAGAAAACTTTGTGCAAAGGGTAAAAATATATTATATACAATTCTTACATTTCATACATTTGAAACAAAAACAAATTATATGGGAAAATTATATTATATTATGTACCGTAATTATATAATTTAATATATTTGAACTATATATAATATTACTTTATAATATTAGTATGCATAATGTAAAGTGAATGATTCATTGACTTCACTTGTCACTTGTTTTGTTCCTGAATGATTTAGTGTTTATGAATGAATCGGTTGAATGAATGATTCATTGGCTCATTCATAAAAAACGGTCACTTCTTTTGTTCCTGCATGATTCAGCGTTTTTGAATGAATCTGATGAATAAATGATTCATATAAATGATTACTGTTTGGTTCCTTAATGATTCAGCATTTTAATCGTGAATGATTCAATGATTCACGTATAAAGTCGGTTGTTTTTTTTCATTCCTGAATGAATCTGTGCTTTCGAATGAATCAACTGAATAAATAATTAATTTACTTAATCACAGACAACAGACAGACATTTGTCGCCACCCACTGGCGTAATGTAACATAAAAAGAGTACCCACTACTAATGCAAAAAAAATACAAATCTACTTCCTTCAATTCAAATTTTCACTTCTTTAAACCTTCTCTCCCTCTGTAAGCTCTCAGTGCATGTCTGCTCTTCATTTCTTGGCTTTCCTGAAAGTCTAAACAGGTTTGTTTTCCTGTGGGATTCTGTGGAGCATCATAAGCAACAGGTGCATAAATCTGACCATGTCCAGCTACTCATCCCCCCATCCGTTTATCCCTCCCTTCATTCCTCTGTGTGGCCATTACCCTCAAGGTAACAC